GGTACCTAACTAACCACTTAACACCTGGACCAATCAATAGTGTCTATTTGCTGTTATCTTGAATTCTTCAGTGATGTAATAATGCCTTTAAAAGGGTCTGCGCACCCATTTTCTGTCAGAAGCCATTAAACTTCTCCGAAGTTCTTTCATTAACCTGAACTTTGTGTCTCAGTGTGAATTTACTTCTGCGTGCACGCAACTTTATTATCTTTAATTTGGACAGGAACAGATAGTCATTCAAACTAATTGGTTTGCAGTAAATTATCTACAACAACTGGCGCCATAACGTGGGGCTCTGGGCTATGTCCTGCCTGGGCAGCTGTCCAAGAAGACGCTGGGGGGGCTGAATCCTGGGGGAAGGAAAAGAGCCTGATCACCTCTGAATACACGGTAGAGATTGCTGCAGCACCTAGCCGGTATGTTCCTACCCCTGTGATTGACCTGTCCCAGTGTCTGTGACTGCTGCCGAGAGGACATCAAAGTCAGGTAATAACTTGCCCAGAGTCTTTGTATTGTTAATGATACCTAGTTTACCTGCTTGTTGACTATCTGTTGCCTGGGTGTGTTTATATTGGTTTGTGTTTAACTTAGCACCCGGGGGGAGTGTAAGTGCCTGTTTAACTCCTTTTAGGTACCACGTGGCTGTGGTAGTAAGGAAAAAGGGGGGTGGACCTGTGGAAGTTTTCCTGGGGGTCCTCTATTGCCTGTTTAACTCTTTTAGGAGCCACGTAGCTGTGGCTGTAAGGAAAAAGAGTAGGGGGAATCTGTGGAGGGGTGTAGACTCACTGCTTCCTGGGGGTTCCCCATAGTGTCACTTTGACTGCTTAGCTAGCCTCATCGGACACTTCTTCTTGGTAAAATTCCAGCCTCGAGCGCTGAGGCAGGTAAGATTCCAATTCTTTAGGCTATACAGGATTCGGGTTGGAAGCTGTTGCTGTTTCCTGTGGCTGCTGGTAGTGAGACTTGCGGGTGGGTCCGCAACAGGGACACTACGAGGTTGAGGGAGGTGGCTTTGGGCCACGCGAGTAAAGGCAAGGGATAAAACTGTTGAACTTATTTGAACTGTGATGCATGCACTGTATTTTATTTGAAATGTTGTCTTAATTGTCTGTCACACAGATTCCTGTGTTTACTTCTATCTTACTCACTGTACTATTTACACTTTCCCCTCCTATTTCTCTTTCTCTTTGTTGAGAGAAGTGATTGGTCACACACTTCTCGCCACGCTCCAATCCGCGGCTACCACGGGTAGGCGGAATCAGTGACTAGTCTACGTTTTGGGAAGACGTACTTAAAGAGCTTGCTCTTAAAGTAGCAGTCGAGCACGGTAGACGTTCTGTTCCTTTCTCTCTCTATATCTGGGACGCCTTGTATAGGGAGGATGGGACAGAAGTTAGATAAACCCAGTAAGGGTTGGTTAGCATGTGATCTAGTGGAAGACAGAGAAGGAGAAGAGATGGTTAAGAAAGTGAGGAAGATTGCTAAAGTATGTGGAATTACCGTACCTCCGTGCGGCAGATTGTAGCCAGAGAGCTGGCGTAAGTTACTGACAGAGAAGAAAGGGAAGCTGTCGGACCAAGATTTGGTTCGTACAGCAGAAGCCTGATACCGAGTAGCAAGAGCTATTCAGCAAAAGGGATAGGTTGAGGAAGATATTGATCACAAAGGTTTAAGATTGTTTGTGTATTATAATAATTGTGTTACTGGGAAGTCCCCCCCCCATCAGTCCTACAGATCTCGTCACCCTCATCCTCTCTCTGCAGCTCCCTGCACCTCCAGTCCGTTTCTCCCGTCAAAGATTTCTGGTTTCCAAACGTATAAGTCTCTGTCCTTCTGTCTTGTTACTTTCCAGCACTCTCATGGTTAATCTTCATGCCTGCAGTCTCTCCCTCTCCCTTTTTTGCACTGCCTCACATTCTCCCCCCCCCTCCTCCCCGCTTGTCTACATTTCCGGGAGCTACTGATAAGAGTTAGAGACGGGATTTTTGCTGGAAAATATTCTAATTCAAAGGTTATGGTGTTATAATTGTGTAATAATATTATTATTGTTGCCGTTTTCCGTTTATATATATATATATATATAATTGTGTTTTGTGATAAGGCAGTGAAGATTGTGGGGGGGCTCGCTCACAAGAATGCATTCCACCTTTCTGAGTATTCTCTCCAAGACTGGTGTATAAGACAGGGAGTCAGGGATGTAGCTCAGTGTTGATTTACGGAGGTTAAGTAAGTGAATCTGATACAAGAATAGAGGAATATTTGGACGTGTTAAGTGTAAAGGCAAGCGTGATTTGTTGCAAAACTATGCAATGAGGATGATAAGGGAAATTGGTTGAATTCCGTGAGTTTATTTTGCATCATTTTATTATCTTGCATCATTTTAAAGAACATGTTTCTAGAGACAGCTATATGGGCTGTTAAATGCATAATGTTTTCAACTGTCTTATTTAACCTGCCAGGTCGGTCCATAGTTTAGTATTTCATTTTACAGAACGGAATGTTGCTTCTCTCACTTATTTTATTAGTTATAATATAGTGTATTGTTGAAAGTGCATCAGCCACCACCCTAAAGATGGCGCCTAGTACAGAAGGAGGTTGACCCAGCCAGTGCCGTGACCTATCTACAGTCACGGTTGCTTCTAAAGTGACGTCACTTCCGCCCTTACCATGCCCACACCTCCTGTCTTCCTTTCCCACACATATCATGGACTCACCCCCTTCACTTCCTCCCTTGCTGTCATTTCCTTCCCCGCCCCTGTCATGGCTGCCTCCATCATGAGGCCTACCCCTATTATGCTCGTCCTATTTAGAGACATGTTGTTTTCCTTACACTCTACATATTATGAACAGAAACATTATAATTACTAAAACAATCATGCCATTTGTTTCCCTGTATCAGAAATTTGTCCGTGATAAAAAAAAAAAAAAAGAAGGTTGCTAAAATGTAATTTGCAAATGTGGTGTGACCTACATATGAAATCTGTTGGACACGAATATAAGAACATAACAGCTGATTATCCAGATTAATCTTGCAACAAGGGAAATAGCCAAATAATGCAAGTTATTTTAAACATTGTATCTTTGCTTAATCGAATCTTGCTAGTTACAGATCGTATGTTTACAGTAACATCCTTTACGTTAAATGATGGTTTAGCATTAGAAGGGTTTGTGACATGTTTTATTAACCCAGCCACTTCTGGTTATTCATTTTAGTTACAGGGTGGTATAATTGTTATAGTCTAATTAATATAAATGATAGTACCGCAATAGTTAATGTTTTATCCAAAGACATTTAGGAACTTTACTTCACTTACTATTAACCATTATTTATAATGATAGACATGTTCAGACTGCAAAAAGCTATGGCTAATGACATAGAAAGGGGTTAGAGTCAGTAACACAGCCCATACAGAGGAGAGCAAACCCGCTGATGCTTAATTCCCCTGCCATGGCAGTGTCTACAGGGAACAAGGGGGGCCACTAGCCACTGTAACTACTGGGGGGCTGCGGGATGGAATACTGGGCCTGCCTGGGGTTATAAACCCAAAAGTGCTTTATCTAAGATAGACAATCAGGGTAGATCCCTCCTTCAAAGAATGACTTTAAGAAAGCCTGGAGGAAGTACCCCTATGAAATTAATGTTAAATATTGAACATCCTGGCCCCGAGGATGCAGACCGATATGTAATGGGAATGTATTGGAAGAAAGGTTCCTACAACAAATTAGGTCATTTCTACCTCAGAGATATGTACCACTCTCCAGAGTGGCAAGGGGCTGATCATATGGTCCCAAATCCGCTAAAACCACATATCCAGTCCTTTAAAGATATGATGGCCATCGCTAACCCCACTTTTGAAGATACCATGGCCGCTGAAACTGGATTCAATGACATTAATTTGTGGTTAGAATGGATGAGGTATAATGCCAACAAACATAATAAAACAGCATGTTATGTATGTGGCGGTGCCCGACCCCACCTTGGCACCGTCCCCCTAATCTCCCTTTAGAGATAGAAGATTGCTTCTTAAGCCTTTTTGCCTACCAATATGACTTTAATAGGTCCCTCTGCATGGCATGGACGGCAGAATACCCTCTCTTAGTTGAAAATGTTAAGCCACCAGATGGAATCACAGTCTATAGAGGTAATTACACTTGTTATGCCATGTATGACGGGATTGGTAAATTCATGGGTAATTTTTCTAAAGGTTATTGCGCCACTTACAGAACTGTTCCTATACGCCTGTTGCAACACCATACCAGGTCATTGGGGGATATTTACTGGTTATGTGGGGATCTACAGTTAAGATCTAGGCTGGAAACTGAGTGGTGGGGTGAGTGTACCCTAGCCAAAGTTATCATGCCCATTCATATTATTTCTGATAATCATCATGACACATACGACCCTCCACATACACCAGCCAGAGTGAGGCGCGAAACCCCAGTAAAAGGCAGTTTTGACCCCCACATTTACATAGATGCCATTGGGGTACCTAGGGGGGTGCCTAATGAATTTAAAGCTAGAGATGAAGTAGCTGCAGGTTTTGAATCACTTTTTACCATAGTCACTGCCAACAAAAACCTTAATTGGATTAACTACATTTATTACAACCAACAGCGTTTTGTCAACTACACCAGGGATGCCCTCCAGGGCTTGGCCGAGCAATTACAGGCCACATCCCAAATGACCTTCCAGAATAGACTGGCCTTAGACATGATCTTAGCCGAAAAAGGGGGGGTCTGTAAAATACTTCCCGACACTATGACTTGTTGCACTTACATTCCAGAAAACACAGGTCCTAATGGTAAAGTCACTCTGGCCATAGCTAAATTAAATAGACTCTCAGAAGAGTTAAAGAGAAACTCTGGAGTTACTGATCCCTGGGAAAAATGGTTTGGTTGGATGACTGGTTGGCAGAGAGCTTTAGTCCAGATTGGTATTGCCTTACTAATTTTTCTTTTTATTCTCGCTCTTCTCATTTGTTGTGTCCTCCCATGCCTAAGGAAATTCCTGCAGAAAACTGTAGACCAAGCAACACCAACCTTCACTCATCTGACAATCGATGATCAAGATCTCATCTCACCCTGTATTCCGCTACAAACTCTCCCTTATACTGATGAAGTGCAGAAAGTCTAGGAAGGGACAGTACAGAGACAGCGTCCGTCTTTATGGGTAGACTGCCATACGGAGAAGTAGTGGATAAGCCACTATGGGTTACCAGCGGAGTGAAGAGTGTTCCTGAACCGTACTGACGGATGTGCTGCAGCCTGTTAGGGTCAAGAGAGGGATAGACTTGCACTTTGCATTAACACTAAGTCAGCGGTCATGGGGTTTCTGTGTCTTTGGGCTAACACATCTTCTGATACTAACAAATAAAGTTTTGTCTTTTAGCAAATAACATTTTAGGGGGGACTGTTGTAGAATTATTAGGCCTCTATAAATCTGTAAGGCCCCTTTAAATCCTCTTGCTATACCTCTAAGAGGCCCCCATAGTTTTACAAGAAAGCTTTGTCTATAGAACATAGAATTTTCATGCCAGCAAGAAATAGCTTTGATAAAATGTGTATTTACTAAAAGCCTTGAAACCTAACCTTGAGAAACTAACCGTGCCAGCTACACTCTAAATGGATGGCTGCCAAAGCACCCCTCCCATCGAGTGAACACCTCGTGCTAACAAGATGGCGCCTACATCTTGTGTCCACTCCCGTGTCAAGGATGACATCACCTCTTGATAGGAGGGTACCTAACTAACCACTTAACACCTGGACCAATCAATAGTGTCTATTTGCTGTTATCTTGAATTCTTCAGTGATGTAATAATGCCTTTAAAAGGGTCTGCGCACCCATTTTCTGTCAGAAGCCATTAAACTTCTCCGAAGTTCTTTCATTAACCTGAACTTTGTGTCTCAGTGTGAATTTACTTCTGCGTGCACGCAACTTTATTATCTTTAATTTGGACAGGAACAGATAGTCATTCAAACTAATTGGTTTGGAAAGCTGAGCATGTAAAAGTTAAGTTGATTTAATTATTTCCATGGATGAAAAGGTGGAAGTTGTATATAATGCACTGCATGTGTTTGATGGATAAAATAGAAATAGGGATACAGCTAGGTGCTAAAACATAGAAAACAAACAGCACATAATAATGTACAGTAGGGATCAACCAATATTGATTTTTAGAGTTGATAGCAATAATCTGTGAACTTTCAGGCCGATAGCTTGCCAAAATTCTGTACATTTACCATTTTGAAAAAATAATACTATACTAAAATAATATTATTTCTAAGGGTAAATGCACAAAATATACATAACACGTGTAGTGGATGCAGTGTTTAGACAGGGGAGCTGTGTGTGTTTGTGTAGTGGATGCAGTGTGTATTTGTGTGGTGTGTGTATATAATGAATGCAGGGTGTGTTTGTGTAGTGTGTATAGTGAATGCAGTGAGTGTGTGTGTAGTGTGTATATATAGTGAATGCAGAGTGTGTGTGTTTGTGTAGTGTGCGTAAAGTGAATGTAGTGTGTGTGTGTAGTGTGTGTATATAATGAATGCAGTGTGTGTGTGTGTTTGTGTAGCGTATTTATATAATGAATGTAGAGAGAGTGTGTTTGTGTAGTGTGTATATAATGAATGCAGTGTGTGTGTGTGTGTAGTGTGTGTATAATGAATGCAGAGTGTGTGTGTTTGTGTAGTGTGTGTATAATGAATGCAGAGTGTGTGTGTGTTTCTGAAGGGATGCAATTTGTGTAAAATACGGGGAGTGGTATTTTTCATTTTAATTTTATTTTAAATATTGATATGTTTTATATTTTTTTTAGTCCCCCCTCACTGCTTGTTACCAGGCCAAGGAGGGGGGATATAGCATGGAAAGTACAGAGGGGGCCCGCAGCAAGCCGTTACTTACCTCCCAGCAGCTCCCTTCAGCTCCCAGTGTAAATCTCGTGGCCTGTGTGCCGCGCGAGATTTACACAGGGAGCTGCTGGGAGGTAAGTAACGGCTTGCTGCGGGCCCCCCCAGGACCGCCGGGCTTCTAATGGGCCCGGCGGTCCTGGTATGTATTATCTGCAATATCGGTATCTTTAAATTCCAAGTAGATTTCATTGGTTGACAGAACCAATGACAGGACCAGTTGGAATTATGCATATATATTTTATGTATTGCTGTTTATTCATATCTCTGATGAAGTCCACTGTGTTGGATGAAACGAGTTAGATATTTTAATACTTTTTTACACTATTTTTTTTATCAGGCAGTTTGTGCCTAAATAAACACATATTTTGCATTGAATCCTGACTCTGTATCCTGAAGTACCTGTGCCTTCTGACTATTTATCATCCCCTAAGGTGGAGAGCGGACCAGTGTGATCCCTGTGTGGATTTTAAGGCGTTTACCTGATTTCTATCTTGTGAGTGCAATTTAACATCGCTGTGTGTTATCAATATATACTGTACATTATTATGTGCTGTTTGTTTTCTATGTTTTAGCACCTAGCTGTATCCCTATTTCTATTTTATCCATCTGATACTACAGAGGCGCAAGTGGGAAAGGCCTCTAAGGAAGCTATCTACATTGTACTAAGTTAAGTATCTATTTATCTGTCATTTTGTTGATAAGTCGAATTTCTGACTGCATGTGTTTGCCATGAGCCTAGGGTGGTCATGACTGGCCTGATCAACTATAAAGATTACTTAATGCCCATGACATATACATGCTGGGCTGCAAGGATAAGAAAACTTGGAAAAGTTCAGACTGATTGGTAAAAAGGTATAAAAGATGGTGAAACTTGGCACTCCCTTGCAGAACTACCCACCTGTAATACGGGTGCGTGTATCTGGTCTCTGCTGTTCCCAGAAGATAGGGTCCCTCCAAGTCCGACTGCCTGAGTTCCCTCAGTCATGTGCAGCGGAGTGAAAACTAAGCTTCTCTAATGGTTACAGGGCCATTTTTAAAGGGGGGCAAAAGGGTCAGCTGCCCTGGGCTTAGTTACTCCAGGGGGCCCAAAGTAGCAGCCTCCTGGGACCCCTGCCAGCATCCAAACCCTGTGGACTGCAGCACCTGATGCAATCAGGGGCCCTTGGCCCTTTAAGAGTTCCCCCTACATGGGCCCCTGTCATGCTGCCTGCTGGGAGGAATTGAGGTTAGATCACTTCCTCACAAATAACAGAGTGCCGCTGGGGAGGTGGATGAGGCAGACATAGGAGTAGGAAAGGGACTGAGGAAGTCAGACTCCCATCAGCCTTGGCCATCCAGCTTACACTGGACCTCAAGGAAGCCAACCTTCTGTACCCACAAAGGTAAGGAGACAAGAGGGTGGCTAAAATATGATGTAAATTGATATGTCTGTGTGTACTTGGGTCTGAGTCAGTGCATCTGGCTATATGTGTGTGTGTGTGTGTGTGTGTGTGCATCTGGCTGTGTATCTAGTGTTGTGTGTGTATCTGTCTGTGTATCTGTCTATATGTGTCTGTACATCTGTGTGTGTGTATATATATATATATATATATATATATATATATGTATGTATGTATGTATGTATGTATGTATGTATGTATGTATATATATATGTATATATATATATATATATATATATACACACACACACACACACACACACACATACATACAGATGCACACTTACACAAGCATACACACAGGAACACTGACAACCATGCAGTGGTGTATTTGTGTGCAATGTTGTTGGAACGCAGGGGTGTATTTGTGTGCAGTGTTAGCGTATATGTGTGCAGTGTTGGTATTGGAATGCTGGGATGAATGCATTGCTACACACACACACACACATATATATATATATATATATATATATATATATATATATATATATATATATATATATATATATATATATATATATAAAAAAGAAGGGTATAGGCTCTCACTAAAAAACCAATAAGTGTGAAAGGCAGCAGTGAACCTGCAGGACTTCCCAATGCCTGCTATGTAGTGAAAGTGAAAAAGAAAATAGTGGTAAACCGCGCCAAAAGAAAAAGTGATCAAATAATCATATTTATACATACATTTTGTTCTTGAATTTTACAACATTTGAAAACCTCAAAAGGAAAGAACAATAAACAATAATAGTGCAGTATGTTAAAAATATTATAATAGTGTATAAATAAAATAGACTGTGAGTGAAGAGCAAACTCACACTTTACCGAGCTGCTAGGAGCTCTGCCGTATAGCGCCTGGACGGTACAATCCCCGTCTTAGGATCTGAATATACCGGGAAGTCCAAATTCAGAGGTCATATATATGTGGAGAAAACAAAATATACAGACCAGTGGTACAGTATCATAAGCTAGAAATAATATAGGAAAATGTAGGTATCCTACTTACAGTATCCAGAGCAATGACTTGCTCTGGTGATGTCAGCTTGTGGTGGTATAATCCCCACCAAAGGATATAGCAGGAAAACAGCAGCACCAGAAGATATGCAGAAGCCAAGGGATTTGGAAAAAAAGGCAATCAATTTATTAATAAAAAATATATTAAAATATATATAGATAAAAGTGTGTATAAAACATCTACTACAATTTCAAATCTTATCCTTGACGCGTTTCGCCCGGTATTGGGCTTTTTCAAAAGAGAAGATGTCCTTGGCATTCCGCCCGGTTTATATAGGGAGTGTTGATTCTTCAATGGTGATCTGGTGTGATGCTGTTCTTCCTATTTCCTGTTTGGTCGCGGGCGTCGACCGGAAATGACGCGCCGCGACCATTAGTGTATGCTGGGAAATGTAGTCCATCTAAAACATCCATACTAAGAATGCGGTTTAGATCGCGGCCGTCAACTGGAAGTGACGTGTCGCGAGTGCCGATGTATGATGGGAGATGTAGTTTCTCCAAGTGTCCATTTAATATAATCACAGCTGTCAGCTGGAAACCGGAAGTGACATGCCGTGGATGGTAGCTGGGATATGTAGTCTCTTAAAGTATATTACAATACATAGCTTCAATATATAAATACAATATAATCCATTCATATTATCTGTGAAGCATGCACAACATAACATGTAGTGATTAATGTAAGAAAACACATTCCAGTAATATATTTATATCCCTTATTAGGAAAAACATAGCCTGTAATGGTTAATCCAATTCCAGTGGTATAGTTAGGTTATAGGCGTACTTAATATAATCTAAAAGGATAGAAATATACTTTAGGAAAATAAAAAGAATAATCTTGGTTATTAAAGGTACCAAATATGATATATACTCAGGGATATTATTTTATCACGATATATAGACAAAGGAACAACCATTATAGGGAATGATCCTAACTTTGAGGTAAGAATGACAAAAAGAGAGGAAA